ATTATTCTTCTTTTCTTCCTCTTAATTTTTTGTTGTGCGATCTTACTTTCTATTTTCCAGAGATCTTGCAATTCTTTCAGCCACTGGTATTGTTGAAGGGGGCTGATGTGATAGTTGTGTTCGTTGAAAGGAAAGCTGCCGATTCTTGGTCCATTTTGATTGATGGCTTTAACTATTCCTGTTAACTTTCCTTCCATCTAGTGTCCGGTGTGTTGCTGTTTAGGTATCTTTTTTATGTTTTGTGGACTTTCCCTATTAGGTTTGACTGTTTCATTATGTCTTGATATCTCGATGTATGGATTGTCTCAATGTTACTGCTTTTCCTTCTTTTCTTAAGATGTTTCCTGCTGGCTTCCAATAGTATATTTTTAAATTGGTTCCGGTTTCCTTCCAGTGGGATGGGCTGGCATGACATGATTGATGTGACCTTGTTTTCTACCATTTCTTTGAATTCCTGCCATTGTTTGTTTGATGAGTTCTCATAGTCTATGTGTTTGGGGTTGTTGTTCTTCCTGTTTGCTAGTTTGTTTCAGAATTTGTGTGGTGTACTGATCGTAGTTGTGACCATCTTGTGGTCCGTGTTTATTATTGTAGTTAGTGGAATATGGGATGCTTCTGTAATGTGTTGTATCAGTGGTCTTGACACTCAAATATAGTCTAGTCTATTTCCGTATTCTGTTTTACTTCTGCTATATGTGTAGCTCCTCGTATATGGGTTCAGGTGTCTATATGTGTCAACCAGGTCATGGAAGATAAGTGTGTTGATTAGCCCTCTTGGAGTCGATCTTGATTTCTTTTTGTTCGTGGATCTGTCTAGCTTGTCATCATTGATTTCATTGAAGTCCCCTAGTACTATGATGAAGAAGTTTTTTGCCGTCGCTTCCTGGATAATTTGTTCTAACCACTTTGTTAAGTTGTGTTTTTGATTTGTTTGTGCGTTGCTGGTGGGACTGTATATTGTGATTATTCTATATTTGATCTTGGCCTGGAATGCCATGTCGATATATAGGCCCC